TGTATCAAAGAAAGATTCTTTTCGTGTGATCATGGCATTAGTTGCCCATTTTGATATGGATTTACATCAAATGGATGTGAAAACGACATTCCTTAATGGTGAACTAGAGGAAGAAGTTTACATGAAACAACCTGAAGGATTCTCCTCTAGTAGTGGTGAGCATTTGGTTTGCAAACTTAAGAGATCCATATATGGATTGAAACAAGCCTCCCGTCAGTGGTATTTGAAGTTTCATGGTGTCATTTCTTCATTTGGTTTCGAAGAAAATACCATGGATAACTGCATATACCAGAAGGTTAGTGGGAGTAAGATTTGTTTCCTTATTCTATATGTGGAGGACATTTTACTTGCAACCAATGACAAAGGGTTGTTGTATGAGGTGAAACAATTTCTCTCCAAGAATTTTGACATGAAGGATTTGGGTGAGACATCTTATGTCATCGACATTAAGATCCATAGAGATAGATCTAGATGTATTCTAGGTTTGTCTCAGGAGATCTATATCAATAAAGTCTTGGAGAGGTTTCGGATGAAAGATTCTTCACCGAGTCCAGCACCTATTGTGAAGGGTGATAGGTTCAATTTGAATCAATGCCCGAAAAATGAGCTCGAACGGGAACAAATGAAGAACATTCCATATGCTTCTGCAGTTGGAAGCCTTATGTATGCTCAGGTTTGCAAAGACCTGACATTGCATTTGTCGTGGAAATGTTAGGGAGATATCAGAGTAATCCAGGTTTGGACCACTGGAAAGTTGCAAAGAAGGTGATGAGGTACCTACAAGGTACGAAGGATCACATGCTTATGTATAAACGAACGGACAATTTAGAGGTCACCGGTTACTCAAATTCAGACTTTGCTGGCTGTGTTGACTCGCGTAAGTCAACATCTGGATATGTATTTATGCTTGCCGGTGGAGCTGTATCATGGAGGAGTGGCAAACAGACATTGACCGCTACTTTCCACTATGGAAGCTGAGTTCGTTTCATGTTTCGAGGCAACGTCGCATGGTGTATGGTTGAAGAGTTTCATATCCGGGCTTAGAATTGTGGATTTTATTGCTAGGCCATTGAGATTATATTGTGATAATTCAGCTGTTGTCTTCATGGCTAAGAACAATAAGAGTGGAAGTCGGAGTAAACACATCGACATTAAGTACTTAGCCATAAGAGAACATGTTGCAGAAAAGAAAGTGGTCATTGAACACATTAGCACTAAATTGATGATTGCTGATCATCTGACTAAGGGCATGCCAATTAAGAACTTCAGGGATCATGTTGTGAGTATGGGACTTGGTTCCATGATGTGATTATTTCATTTGTACGTACATTTATGTATTCATGAAACTCTTATTGAGTTGTGAGTATCTTTTTCTTTAGTGTACACTATATTTGATATTAAAAGACTCACTTACTTGGACCTAGAATAAGCATAAGACTTATTCATTAAGTAATGTTATCATATAAAGTTTAAAGACACATGATATACTGTAATACATGGAAGATAATACTCGTACTAAGAGGACTTATCGCCATGATTCATATATTGTGTTTCTTATACAGATAATCGATACATTAAGAGAAATATATAGACCAAGTGGGAGAATGTTGGAAGTTTTTATTATTAACTTCCCATTATGTTAATGGTCTAATATTTCCTCCATGTTGTGTTAACTGCATGATAACCACCTCAATAGCAGTTTTTTCTGATGGAGAAAAAACAATAAATAGGGGTAACGTATTTGGTCCCTAAGCCAAGCAAAACAGATAGAAATACACCATCAGTATTGTATTGTTAAAGGTTTAGAAGCACCAAATATTCAGATTTCAATTCAAGAATTTCAATGGCCGGAGGTATGTTTTTCGATTCAGAATTGTATTTCCGCATTCATGATCTTGTATGTTAAAGTGATGCATATTGAAGATCATGATTTAGATGAGTTTGAAGAATTTTAAACTTACATGCAGAAGCTAGTGGAAGCCGGAAGAGCTGTCCGAACGACACGTGGCAGGTGGATTATCGGCGGTGCAAAGCGCCGCTGTATGGAAACGTGTCGGAAAGCGCCTCGCTAACCCTGGTGACGACACGCGTGTCTCCCCGACAGAAGATTCTCCCCATCTCCTCTCGTTGTGTCGAGCAGAATCGAAAGCAAACGGGACCACTCGAAATCTTGCAAAATTCAGAATGATTTCAGATGACAGTAGTGATTATTTTTTTTAATTAAATTTCAACTGATTTGAGGCCCTTTGCAAATGGCGACTCGGCAACTAACTCGCTGGTGGGACCCTTGGAAGTCAAGTTGCTGCCGGAAAGTGGCAGAGAACAACAAAACCTTGTCAAAACTGGTCTAACTATTATCACTGCAATGAATAAACACTTCACAAATTGTACAGTACATATACTAAATGATTATCGTTAAACATTCGTGGTTTAGGGTTTATCATCATCAACTAACCACTTCCGGTTATATTAAGATATTGATTAAAAGATGACATTGTGAAACCAGAAATTTTAAGTGAAATATCCAAAAAAAAAAAAAGATTGATTGATACATCTTGTGTTTTGTAAAGTGGGAGCACAAGGAAATCCGACGCAACGTGTCATCAAACCATTGGCTAATACTAGTCTGCGATACTCACTCTAAGACGACGAGAACAAATAAAATGCCAGATGAAAAAACAAATGAAGCTGCGGCAGCAATTGGATCAATTCTCGTCAAGGCCATCCATACAAGAACAAAAATCTCAAGAAACAAGAGGAGGATTCTTGCCAATAATAATAATAATAATAATAATAATGTAACCCGTAAACTTATCCCGTTCTTCTCTACCTATATATCCTTCTGATTCTTGAATCAATGAGCCAAAAAAAAAAAGGCAGACGATGACCTCTCTGGTGTGGTGTTGTTTAGGCTTGATGAGTGTTGTCAAGTGTACCATTCTGATAAGGTTTGCCATTAGGAGGAGCTTCCCCGTTTCGCAACTCGACCCGTCTTTCGTACCCGTTACGCCCATACCCTCCTCGCCCTCCGTTCATGTTGTTTCCCCGGGGCCTATACCCGTTCTCGTTCCTAAATCCCCTGTTTCTCTCGGAAGGTCTCCCGTTTTCGTTGGCTGCAAAAGAACTCAAGAGACATGGTTAAGGTTTGAACTAAAATTAGGATCTTGACAATGTTCATTGGGCAGTTGGGGAAATTATAGAAATCTAACTTGCCTCGCTTTTCTTCTATGGAAACTCTCCTGTTGCCGATTCTGATGGGAGAATCGTGATAAGCCTGGAGTTTTTCAGTTCAAAGATTTAAAACCGGAAGACTTTCATAAAGTTTGAGACGGTGGGTGATAAATATGTATACCTGGAGAACATTTTTCACCGCTTCAGCAGATTCGAATGCTACAAACCCGAAGCAGTTCCATTTTTGCTGAAAGTAGAAAATTTTCTTTTCGGGTTAACACGAGTCTGCTTTCTGTGGCCAAAACAAAACACATAGTTTTTCCCAAGATGATTCAGGAAGTAACCAACCTTGTAACTCCTGACTTGAATACCGTCTTGTTTGATAGCCCCGAAATGTTTGAAAGTTTCATGAAGTTGCTCAGGTGTCGCATCCATTGGCAAGTTTGCGACGAATATAGAGCCACCCTCGGCTGATTTACGAGAAACATAAACCATATAAGACACGGTAACAGAAAATATCACAGTTCTGAGACAATGAAGCAATGAATAACCTGGTTGTGGTTGTTCAGCGCTTTTGGCAGGAGTTTCTTCAGGTAATGGCACAGGAATGTTAGGTTCAGGAACAAGGCTTGATTTTTCGGCAGGCTTAGGTTTAGCAGGAGAAGCTTTTACATGGAAAGGAGTAACATTTTGGGCCAGAGATTGAACCTGCATAAATCAAAGATCAGATATTATGATCATCTAGATTATTATTATTACTATTATTATTATTATTATTATTATAAGGTAAATTCGACAAGAGATGATATTTAAAAAAAATAACAAAGGGAACTCACAATTACTGCAAATGATTTCTTGGGAGCAGCTTTATGGCCGTTGCTGTTCTCGTTCACAACTTTCTTCTCCGAGACATTGGCATCTCCATTTTCTGTAATATCTTCTGGCCTTTTCACTGAAGTTTCCATTACCTGTTTTACTACAGGTTCAGGTTGATCGAGAATATTAATTTGCTCTTCTGCTTCTTTTACTGGCTCCACAGGTTCTTTTGCTGATAATCGATACACGCATGGGTGATCAATAATCTCATGAATTCAAAACAAAAGTAGATAGAGAATGAAATAAAATTCAGACGAAACATAAGTAATCCTAACCTGAAACATCGGCAGAAGACTGGATTACTAGAGGATTCTCCTTGACCTCCTTATTACTAGCTTCTGGTTCAGCCAACTCATCAGATACATACCTAAACACATCGTTCAGTACAAAGTAGCTTCCTTTCTGGGGCACAAGGAAAAATGATTGAGAAAATCTCATTCCTTCTCCGTCTCTTCCAGTTATTAAACCCGTGACCAGAGTTACAACTCCATCCTTGTAAGATGCTTGTGAATCAGCAGTCAGAATCTGGATCTTCGAGTTTTGGTAATCAAAGGACATCAGCTGATCATTGATAGCCTGCACATGATGTAAGAATATTCCGTTAAAAATTTGCTAAACCATATAAAAAAATGGTAAATATTACACAAGAAGTCAAGCACGGTGTAGAATCAAACAAATTACAGAAAAAAATGATAAGGAACATGACAATTAGTTGCTGGAACAAGACAAGAAACAAAAAATCATACATCAACACCAAACATCATGGAAAACAATGAGATGTCCAGTTCATCTGGACATTGTAAATTGATTTGATATCGAAAGGGCTTACTTTTAAGGATTTGACAGAAACCATTTCACCATCAGGACCCGGTCGGCCCAACACACTGTCCTCAAGATAGAATCTATGGACTTGGGCAGGTGATTCATATAAGTGGTTGTAATATTTCTGAACAAACGCATTCCCCACAATGTGTGGATCAACTGATGATGGAGCATTTGATTCAGCTGCCATCTCTGCACAATTCAAGATATAGATAACTCTAGGTCAACTCAAAAGCACAACATAAAAGAACCAGGAAAAAAAGTTTTTGTTCCAACCAATACGAGTAGGGCTAATAAGGATACCACAACAAGAATCTGATAATTAATAACGATGTTTAAACCATAAACCCTTAATTAAAACCATAAAAAAGCGTTTTAGGAAAGAAGCACCAAATCTCAAACTTCTAATTCTTCAAAATGAAACAGTTGCAGGGCAATCAAGTTAAAACCCCAAAACCTTAAACAACAGGATGGCTGGCTCCAAATCAGAAACACAGCTCCGCCTCAAAGGTTGCGCAAAAGTTCCTAAATCTCAGTAAATCTAACAGTTCTCAATACTTAAAGAGACACGAAATTGAATGAAAAAAATAGGCTTGCGAGTTCGCTAAGTTAAGCAGCATTCAAGCAGATCCAGATGACTAGCAAAATATTCAGCAAAATTTGATAATGACCCTAGAACCATCGAAGAGCTCCATAGATCTTAACCAGACAGTAAACAGAGTCTGGGAGGAGGGGGTGAGGCCCGAACTTGGCTGCAGGAACAGCAAACAAGAACTAGAAACTTAACAGCACTCAAAACAAAAGCAGATTGATGTAAACAGCAGCAATACCTGGAAGTGAGAAGACAACCACGATCAATCTCTGAGAGAGAGGTAAAAATGGCTTCTAGGGTTTTACTTGGAAATCTCAGGAGAGAGAGTTTTAATTTTTTGTAGGTTTCTTGGTAATTTGATTTAACATTAATTTATTGAAAACTTACTTGTATCGGGATGTGGAGGGAATTTTCCTTTTATATTTTCAGTGGGCCCCATTAACTTCGATAATTCACGAGGCCCATATAAGCCTACGATACACAAAAAGAGAGCCCATCAAAAGTCCTTTGTGCTGAAAACAAAACACAAAAATTACATAAAAGCCCCCGGCGAGGATCGAACTCGCGACCTTTCGCTTACGAAGCGAACGCAATACCACTATGCTACGGAGGCAACTTATCACCTTATGCTTAATATTACATATAAATTACTTTTTAACCATAATTACCCACCTTTGCTCTACGTCGCTAAACCCTTTTCCCTGAACCAGGCGGCAAATCCGGAGTGAAACAGCAATTCGACTCAACCTTGTTTTCCGATGGGGAGGGAGAGCAGTAGCTGCGGCGCCGGCAATCTGACATGGCGCGCGGAAGCAGAAATCGCCGGAAACGACACGGCTCTCAAAGCTCTCCGAGAACTCATCGTCTACCCCTTTCTCTATCCTCGTGAAGCCCGAAAGCTTGGTCTCAAAGTATACCCTAACCCATCTTCGATTCATCATCTGGGTTTTCCCCCCTTTTTTGTTTACTTACTGCTTTTCGCTTTACTTCTCTCAGTGGCCTAGAGGGTTGCTCTTGTATGGCCCTCCTGGAACCGGGAAGGTACGCTTTATCCCTGGTTTCTGAAAGTTTCAGGTTTGAACATTACTAGGATCGATTGAAAAAAAAGAAAAGTTCCAGACTTTGTATTGTTAGTGTTTGATGATATTCCCCAAGCTAATTTGATTGCTCTAATGGCGGCGTGTTGGTACATTTGGTGTTTAGACAAGCCTAGTGCGTGCTGTTGTCCGGGAATGTGATGCACATTTGATTGTTCTAAGGTACTTAGCTTCTCTTCTGGTATGTTGTTGGAGCTAGGAGAAAGATCCTTTTTTTCCTTAGATTGCTTATTGGTCCTTTTTTTTGTGGTCTCTGTTTAGCCCTCAATCTGTTCTTAGAGCCCATGCTGGTGAAAGTGAGAAAGTGTTAAGGGAAGCTTTTGCAGAGGCGTCTTCTCGTGTTGTTTCAGGCAAGCCATCAGTGATTTTCATTGATGAAATTGATGCCCTTTGTCCTCGTCGTAATTCTAGGTATTGTAAAGAGAATTTTCAACCAAAATTTTGTTACTGTCAGTGTTTGTATCTCCAGTTTATATTCCTTTAACTGTTATTGATACTCAAGGAGGGTGGATCAATGGATGGAAGATACATTGTTGAGCTCTTCTTGGTGGTTTTCTCTTGAAGGACTAATGACTATATTGCTCTTCATATACATATACATGTCTTTTATTTCTGAGATTACAGTTATGAGATATGAAAGATCTAATGAAGTGATTGGAACCTCCCACGAATGAAAGCAGGCGAGAGCAGGATGCTCGTGTCACTTCTCAGCTCTTGATACTGATGGACTCGAACAAGCCTCCATCATCTGCACCCGGAGTTGTTGTTGTTGCATCCACAAACAGGTTCATGCCCACCTATATTTATCGATATGCTCTGGTCGTTGTCTTTAGATGGAGTTCAAGCTAACCTATTTCATATTTGTTTCTCTTACATTTGAAGGGTAGAAGCCATTGACCCTGTTCTAAGAAGGTTTGGACGGTTCGATGCTGAAATTGAAGTGAGCACGCCAAATGAGAAGGACCGTCTAAAAATTCTGGAGGTATTTCCCTGTTTCTTCATTTGTACCTCTTCCAAGTTTGTCTTTTTGTCTTGCAGATAATTGTGGGAAAGGGGAAAATTCTGAGAGCGATTTGTTTTCTGCTTACTTCATCAGCTTTATACAAAGAACATCAATTTAGACCCGACCATTAATCTGCAAGCGATTGCAGCATCTTGCAATGGCTATGTTGGGGCGGATTTGGAAACTTTGTGCCGTGAAGCAATCGTATCTGCAGTTGAAAGGTCCAAAGATTCAGCATCTTTCGGAAATGTTGATACCTTTAGCTTAACAATGCAAGACTTTAGATATGCAAAGCCTACAGTGGGTTCGAGTATAACCAGAGGCATTACTGTTGAAGTTCCAGAAGTGACATGGGATGATATCGGTGGTCTTAGAGACATAAAGGTCAGTACTTTAAAAAAAAAAATCTTCTGCTTTTTACGTGGTTGTGCTTCGTTTACCGTTGCGGTGAATTTGTTAGTATTTCTTCATGGACAGAAAAAGCTCAGGCAGGCCGTTGAATGGCCGATCAAACATTCAGATGCATTTACGAGAATGGGCATATCGCCGGTGCGTGGCATTCTTCTTCATGGACCCCCAGGCTGCTCAAAGACAACACTTGCTAAAGCTGCTGCCAATGCTGCTCAAGCCTCTTTCTTTTCCTTAGGGTTTGATTATCTTTTTTTTTTTAACTCCTAAATATTACCAAAAATCAAAACTTTTTGCATCATAGTTGGCAAATTCATAATCTTTAGAAGGAACTGAGGTTATTGTCTTTATGTGGACATATATATTCAGTGGCGCGGAGCTATTTTCCATGTACGTTGGAGAAGGCGAAGCATTATTGAGGAATACATTTCGAAGAGCCCGGCTTGCCTCCCCGAGCATAATACTCTTTGACGAGGCTGATGTTGTCGCCGGTAAAAGGTATGTTTCCAGTTATTTCATCCAACCCCTCATTACTTTTTCCATCCAAGAAGCTCATCCTTGCTTTGATTTGGACATCATAACTCAAACCCTAAACCCTAAAACCTAAACCCTAAATCCTAAACCTGAACCATAAAAAGAGGTTCAAATGTGTTTGTTTTTCGCTGGTCATTGTAAGAGGTAAGAGTTCAAGCAACAGCTCTACAGTTGGAGAAAGGCTTCTATCTACATTGCTAACTGAAATGGACGGACTCGAAGAAGCAAAGGTACATGTAAATATGAAAAGTTCACACCTTTCAATCGACATTACGTTCGATGAATTGAATAACTTAAAATCGAATGATGGGTTTCCTCAGGGAATTCTTGTTCTGGCTGCTACAAACCGCCCATATGCAATCGATGCCGCTCTTATGCGACCCGGCCGATTTGATCTGGTAAGTCCTCTCCAACGTTATCCTCTGTATGAGTTCTAGATATCGATACATCAAACCCGAATTCCCCGACAAATTTCCGAGACATGTCTTTAGGTGCTTTATGTTCCGCCACCTGATCTAGAAGCTCGGCTTGAGATCCTTCAAGTTCATACACGAAACATGAGTACAGGAGACGACGTTGATCTGAGAAAGATTGCGGAAGGCACCGAACTCTTCACAGGTGCAGAGCTCGAGGGTGTGTGCAAAGAAGCGGGAATGGTGGCTCTCAGAGAAGACATAGCGGCAACCGCAGTGTATGATCGCCATTTTCAGACAGCTAAAAACTCGCTTAAACCTGCGCTGACGAGAGAAGTGGTTGACGCTTATGCATCGTTCAAGAAGTCGAAAGGAACGAATCCGAGTATGAAACCCGTCGAGAAGAAGAAGAAGAAAGTGTTGGGATTTGGATTTAGCTGGAAGATCGGAGTGATCGGATTCGTGTTGCTTCTTGCTGGGAATTATTACATGAAGGGTGGAGACCAAACTCATGAACTTGTAGTTACATGAGTTTCTCTTATTATTATTTGCAACGGGTCTTTTTTATTATTTCATTTTTTTTAGGAAACCCAAAATTGAACAAAAAATGATTTTGTAACTCTTCTTTAACAATGTAAGGAATTAAGTTCAACGCGAAGACATGTTAGAAAAGACAATAATAAATAAATCATTTTGTTATTCACTTTTTAAAAATTTTAAAAAATCTAAAAAAGTGAAATCAGAAAAAGACAAGACTTGGAAGGTTAATAGAACATGGAAGAACCAGAGAAAGGGGAAAAGTTATACTGAATGGCCCCACATCACATCCTGTCCCACGCGCCACGCGCCACATTCTCTGCTCTTTCACTCGCTCTCTCCAATTTTGCTTCTTCCACTCCCAAATACCAAAACCAAGAATCTGATCAGTTTCAACCTTAATTATACTAAATATTATAATATTTGGAGCATAAATGTATTATATTATCATCCGTTATTTTAAATTTCAGTATAAAAATTATAATTTGAATTTCAGTATAAAAATCTGATGGTTTAATTTTAATCAAACCGAAGCGAACCGGACTGGCATGAGCAAACCGAGAATGGGGGGAGCGTTAAGCTTAAATATCTCGCTCGCTTGCTCAACCTCAGTCGCTCGACCCTGTTCTTCCACTGGGTCTGCATCTGCTTCAGTTCTCTCTAGATCTGATCCGCAATTCATCACAGGTGCGTCACGAGAACCTTTTATTCTCCAGATCGTCTTCTTTGTTTGTTTGATTTCGATTCCCCGGTGCCAATGCCGAAGTGAATTCGAGAGTTCTACTACTGTTTTGTCCCTCGATATCGCTCCGACTCATCTCGTGATTAGGCGTCTACTTTGATCTAGGGTTTCTAAGTTTCAAGTTTATGAGGGCAGTTTTTTTATAGGATTGTGCTTCTATTGATTTGGTTGTCTAGATCCGCTTTCGAATCTCTTGGTTTGAAATTGTTATGAACTTTGTGTGGTCATTGTTTCACCGTTGTTCTTAAGGTAGACATTCTGAGCCTACGCTTTGTTGAATCTCGATGAAAGAATGCGGATCGAGATCCTGTAGTCTTGCATATGTTTGTGTCTATGTAATGCACATTCAATGGATGATAGTCATGGAAACCCGAATCTAGGCTATATTCATTCCAGGATGTGTTAGGAAATGGTAGCATTTGGAGTTTCTTGGAAACCCATTGCTTCAAAATCTTAAATCTGCCGTCTTTCCCTTTTGCCTCACTTGACAGGCTGTTACTAAGCCGCCATTAGGCAAGACCATGCGTCGTGGGAATAGTTGCGGTGGAGGACAGAGCTCCTTAGGTTATCTTTTCGGCGGCGGAGAGGCTCCCGCTCCCGCACCCGCACCCGCACCTGCACCTGCCCCAGTTGCTGCCGCCACCGAACAGAACAATGGATTTCCCCCGAAATCCGCAGCTTCTCCTCCGCCAGAGGACATTGTCAAGCAGGTTCCGGCGGGTATCAACAGGACATCGGTGAACAACTACGTTCGAGCCGATGGACAGAACACCGGCAACTTTCTCACCGTATGTTCCTCTGTTCCACGCTAACTTACATGAATATTCAGATTGCGTCTATGAATATACATCATCTGATGACGTTTCATGTGGTAAAACCCATTTCATATGTTTCCGCAGGATCGCCCTTCGACCAAAGTCCATGCTGCTCCTGGCGGTGGATCATCCCTTGATTACCTCTTCAGCGGCAGCAAGTGAGAAAAAAAATTGGTACTTTTGTTGTCTGTTTGGTTATATTCCAATGGAGCATGTAATATAACCAGTTCGTTTCTCATCCCTGTCTGAATTCTCAGAGTTCCTATCAATCATTTGAATCAAGATCATGCTTCTTTCTTCGTCTCTGTTATATGATAATATGCATGCATACACATATATATATATATATATATATATATATATATCTGTAGTTTTAATTTTCGGAATTCGTTATATTACATAATATAATGTCCAAATACAAAACTGAACCCAATATGATTCCCAGTTTAAGGCCCATATAGGAAAGCAGATCCATTAAAAAAAACACAAAAACCAGTCTGGTAAGAGGAAGTTCTCATTATGCTCTATAAAAAAACACCTCGTACTCGTAGCTAAAAGAAATCAAACCAGTTGTGTATCATTGTGATTCCACGTTGTAGCTGTCTGGAAACGAGAGGAAGCTTCTCTGTTGCTCGACACGTCGAAGATGTGAAGAAAGCTGTAATAAATCGACCGTGGATTCTGGTTCGGACAGTACGCATGCGTTCGTTCCGTTCAGAAGCTCCGGATCTTGATACAGTATCATCGTGTCCGGACGGGCCAAACCTGTATCTCCCATCGCGTGTGAGCAATGCATCATTCGGTTTGAATCATGGGATTGATACAAATCTTGAGAATCTGTTGACAGAAGAGAGAGAGCACGGGAGGAGGCTCCTCCTCCTGACGACGACGACGATGACATGGATACACTGGGGTGTTCTTGAAAAGCTGGTGCTTTACCAGATGAAGAGCCGTCGGAACAGTATGGTTTAGCATCCATGAATCCGTGAGGGGATAAGGCTTTTGCTGATTCTGCGCAAAGGGTATGATGAAAAGGGATCAAATCTTGTGAAAGAATGGTTGGTTTCTTGGCTGATGTTCGGTTGTATCCTGAATTCATATCGATCGCACGCAGGTTCTTGAATTCTCATTACAATGTTTCAGCCAATAGAGATCATATACACATATATATATATACCTTGAGAAGGTTTTCGGGCGAGGCCAAGAAGGCGAGACTTTCGCCTCCGTTCGTTGTGACCAGCGAGACGCCTACGACAACTGCGTTTTTCACCGTCGAATTCCCACAACAGATGAAACCTACATTACACACAGTTCAGACAATGACCCAAACCATGCATCAAGTTGAAGAGAACCAGAAACGATGGGATTTCGCTTAGTTTAAGACCTGCTGCATTGTTGGCAGAACCTTCGTTCGACTCCATTAACCATTACTTTCGGCTTCTTTGAATGCAACTCACAAACTCTATGCCGTCTATGGTAATTCTTTGAACAACTCAGATCCTTGTCGCATCCATAAACTTGGCAAATGGGTTTAGCAATTCGAGCTCCCTCATCCATGCTCCGTGAAAGATCGATCAAAGATGAAATCGACCGTTCGAGTTCGATAAACTGGTTAGAGATGGACGAACCAGATTCATCCTGCTGGGAGTCACAGCCATACAGCGGCATCATCATCTCCATGCTCTGGACAGCTTCTGTGTCAGAGATCAACGCGTTTTGTTCGAAATCGTAAAAGGGTTTCTGATCAAATCCGATTAACAACTTTGTATTTGTCGGGGGGAAGACATCGTTATGCAAGTCCATTCCTTGTTCAAAGCTTAGAGCTTTATCTTCAGAGAAGTAGCTCCAATCTTCTTCCATCAGCTTCAAAACCTACAAAAGAAGACAGCATCAAACATGGGAATCCGAACAAAAGCCTTTCAGAACTATAATCCAATAACAAGAACAGGTTTTTTTTCGGACCGGATTTCTGCAATTTCCGACAGAAGTTAGCAAGCAGGTAACTTGAAAGGAAACAGAGTTTGAGCACAAATGTCACAGAAACAGCGGCGATGAACAGAGAAAATCAGACCACTGTTTGTTTCCGGAGAAAATCTTTGAATCGGAATCCTGTGTTCCTATATGTTATTTGGGTGGCTGTCAAGTATTACAGGTGTTGCTTCTGAGAAAAGGAACAGAATAAAGTTAATACCTTTCCGCATCATTTTCTTTCGTTTTCAGGAAAAAAAAAAAGGGGAAAACTATGTTCAAATCTAGGGCAAATGATGCAGAATCCTTACCAAAAAAAAAATGATGCAGAATCATTCAGTACAGAGGCTTAGAAAAATCTCAAATCTTTGCATCCTAAAGGGTTTCCTTCACTAAAATCTGCCATAAACACTCCAAAAGTTATTGTTTTCCCTTCCACTTTTACCGCTGTTTCTCGGGAGCCAAACAGGAAAAGGGAAGAAGCATTATTGAGGAATACATTTCGAAGAGCCCGGCTTGCCTCCCCTATTTCCGCTTACCGGAAAAAAAAAAAGAAAAATCAGAGGACAGTGTAAACGAGAGCGAATGATTGTAAGAGATTAATATTACTTTTCTTCAAAGCAATAAAAAAATGGTTTGTGGTGGAAGAAGATTTTCCGCTTCTTGATATATATTAGAAAAATAGATGAATTGGTAAGGCGCATGGTCAACATATCAAAAAGTTTGGTTTAATTTTTTGTCCGCTCACGTGTTGTCTGTCAGTTACAGTTGGTTTATATAGGTGTGAGATTTATCCAATGAGCACGTATGATGGATAACAGATGGGATTCCTTTACATATATATATATATATATATATATATATATATATATAAATG